TATGATCTTGACTATCTGTAGCTCAGGATCTGTTGCCACGTATCGCCCTTTCGGAAAAAATCAGATCTCGGAATGTGGTCCACTCCAATATAGCCGCGATCTGGATCGCTACCTCACTCGGATATAATACCATTTTAGTACCAGATCGCGGTACTAAATAATTAGTACCAGATCGCGGTACTAAATAATTAGTACCAGATCGCGGTACTAAATAATTAGTACCAGATCGCGGTACTAAATAATTAGTACCAGATCGCGGTACTAAATAATTAATACCAGATCGCGGTACTAAATAATTAATATCGGATCGCGATCCGCCGGATCACGACTTGTCTTCTTCACCGTTTCTCAGGTCATGTGAGATAGTTCATCAATGTGACATTTCATATCCACCATTCCAGTCCTCCATAGCGACGTGATCCACACCAGACCGTCCTCCACATGCTTGGATGTACCCATCTTCCTCCTTAGCGACCGCGTTCACGCGGATCGCCATCGGAAATACTGGAGATCGCAATAGCGTAGTTTCTAGGCCATATTTGACCCCACATAGAAGTGCAAACTACTCCATTCACTGTTTTCCATCCTATTTGACATCGTCTTGAAACCTTTCTGCGAGATCGCGACTCATCAATATTGGCCACGAGATCGCGACTCATTAATATTGGCCATTTCGGACTTAACCGAAAATATGCGATCACACTTGGCGAAATTCACTCTTTCACTTCGCCACAACTCGCCGTACTGTTTTTCAGAGCCGCGAGTTTCACAAAGTTTTGTGATGCACCCGAATCAACGAGAAGGGTCATCACTTGGTCATAGCCTCGTACTCGAACGCTATAGACCAAAAGGGTTGAGGTCCGACGTTTCGGTACCTCAGGAAATATGCTACCCATTTGTTCGATCACTCTGAACTTAGGGGTACCTTCAGAGTCCGCGACAGCAGGGCATCCCGCCCCCACTGTGTTCCTACATTTCCCGACCAATATTAAGCAGGTTCTGAACCCGTGCGTCGTGCACGCTGGTTTTTCGCACCTCCCTTCGGGTTGGGAGACCTTTTGCTGGGTGCCTTAGCACCAGCAGCTACTTTGGCATAGCAGCGAGCCATCATATGGCCTCGCTTGCCGCACTTGTAACAGACCACATCTGCATTGACTTATTCCATAGGAGTGGCATCAGACTTCTAGGACGACGGCCTGTAATAGGCTGTCGCCGAGGCGCTGTTGTAGGATTGCTCCTCAACTAAGGCAATGTCAATGGCCTCTTTCATCGTCGCTGGCACCTTTCTAAAAAGGACCTGACGCGATGGTCCGTGCCTAAGTCCATTCATGAGCGTGGCCACCTTGATACGTTCCGGTATCGGCTCACCGTTAATGGACGCCGACAGCGAACGCATCTCCTGCACAAATTCTTGCGGAGAGCGTTTCGCCTGTCGTGCTTCTAAGAAGCGCCATAAGCAACATTTTGTTGTTAGACGGCTGACACATGGCGCGAATCTTTGCTTTAAAGATCGCACATGATGGAAACGCTTCAGCGTTTGTCATAAGCGCAGAGTAAGCCCACTCTGACGCTTTGCCACGCAAATTTGACATGGCATACGACAACATCTTGGTGTCGTCTTCGACGGGTTGTGCGATACCGCATTGCTCCACGTCTAAAAGCCAGTGCACAATCGTATGTGGGGCAGTCTCATCGAACTTCGGAGGGTCCATCCGAATGGGCCTTGGCTGATTAGACCGAGCCGAGAGCGTCTAAACAGTTCTGTTGAGCGCCTCATTCTGAGCTTGCTCACGCAAAACTCATCCTGAGTCTTATTGATGGACTCAGCCGTTGCTTGGCTGTTTGCCTCAGTCGCGTTTCTACGTTGTCCGAGCACAAACGCCTCAAACTGCTTCAACTTAGTAACATATTGCTCAGGAGGACAATGCAAGAGGTTGGCCAGGGCTAGTATAATAATTCCATGCGCAAAATGCTCAGTCAACTCCCTATGGTGTCGGGAGAGGTGAGGAAGTCTCCCTAATCCATATTAAGGGGCATCCGTGTCCACACGAAAGCTCAGAGAGACTGGTCGTGGGAAGGACTACTAGTGCTACCAAGTGTAGAAGGGCGCTTCGAAAGAAGCTGCCACGTGCTACGAGCCCACACCTTTGAGCAGTGTGAGGAAGCGGTTATACCGTCTTACCTCCGCGTGCGGTGGTGATGATGTTGGTCGGCGCTAAGAAGCGCTGTACCAACTGTTCCCGGTGGCTTAAAGTGATCCGCACACCGAAATATAGAGCAAGCACCTAACTGCGTCACGGAACTGTTATTAGTCTTCTCGTGTGTAGTGAGCAGTGATTAGGAAATTCAAGACTGGCTTATATTTAATTGAAAATATTTATAATATAAATCTAACTACTGATTGGTCAAATGTAAAGATCGGATACGCGTCTTTTTAGAAGCGTATGCTTACGTGCGAGCTTAATATAAATTTAAGCTCGCTGATGACGTCCGTCTGCAGCGTCACCATGACGCCTAGTCCCAACTGGGCATCATCCATGTTGAATGTGAATCTATCTATGGATATCACATTCACGAGGGTGGGTCACATTGATGTGCCGCACCCAAGTGGCAGGTCTAAGGTATGCCCGTGAAGTATTCGATACTTAACGAATACTTAACGAACCCGGGTAACTATTAGCCCGTTACAACGATTATGGCTCATAAAGTAAAAATTATTTGGCACGAAATTGTGGTTATTAGACTGACCTCAGCTGGAAATGTCAACAACCCAATATCACGGGAAGGGGGATTGGTGCTGAATAGCTTACTCCACCGTACAAATTTCTAGGGCGGAAATCGGTATAAGTCGGCCGACTCCCGTGGGCTAATCCGCGCCGCTGCTTGTCGTCAAAGAGCATATTAAGCCAAGTATGGAGGTGGAAAGGTGGGATCAGAATGGTGGAGATGGTGGTGGACAAAGTCAGAAGACATACACTAGGACCCGAATAAGAACAAGAAGAAATTAATGAAGTGCCTGATTTGTAAAAGACGGATCACTTCAAGGCCGATTGTCCCGATAGGGGGTAGAACCAAAGTGACGAAGAGCTAGTGTCTTCTGAAATCTCGCGGCAATGTAACCCTACGTCAGCATGCGCCACTTTACAAATTGCAACACTGGATGTAAATACTGGCGCTATTGAAGATTGCAAGCAGTCAAGTGACGAAGCACCATTTAGGCGATGTAGATGTGCACATGAATAACAACAACAGATTCGAGACACTAACAGAGCAGATGGATTGGGTGGGCAAGACGGCTATTGCCAGAAACGAAGATGAAATCGATACCAGTATTTGGTGGTTATTCGTCACTACCTATTACTGGAGATTCTAGTGCAACGGTCGTTCACTAAGGATTCGAGTCAACTTAATATGTAATGAAGTTTACACGACGCTGTGTAGCTCGGCTACACAGTGCCCGAATTACACCAGCTTTGGCATCCCGAATTGCTGGAGTCGGCACTGGGTGGTGACGACGGAGTTGAATACAGTAGTAATTGTGGAAGTTAAGGTGGAGATGGAGGTGGAGAAGAAACGGCACTAAACCAATACGATGATACTTATAGCTGTGATGGACAGCAAGTGGCACGACGTGGTCAATATGGATTGGTCTCTTAGTGGCCGATTTACAAGCTATCTCATGAAAATCAGGGGAGCTGGCGTTAGTATCAGACACTTCCAGCGAGGTTCGGTCTTCGATTTCATAGCGCCGTGATTGCGTGGTTGTGCGCATTAGCTGAAGGCTGTTTAATTTTAGCCGCAAGAATTAGTCGCTAGGCCTCTCGTGAAAAAATGAAAGAGAACAGAATCTCATTCAGACTCGAGTGAATGACCAGCAACAAACGTTCGCCATCGATTTGCCGCATTATACTACAGGTTCGTCATCATTGTTTAAAACTTCGTTACATTGTTTGCTCTCGGCTGCATTCTCATCACTAACGGACGGCACTTCTGATGGACTATTGATGTTTCAAGAAAAATAACAGTCATGTTGATAGCTTCTACGAATTCTTAACCTGTGATGGAACTTTGTACCAACGACCCTGCGAGCCCAGCTATCATCGGCATCCTTCTGTGATAAGAGGAAGCAAAAATAGCGTCAAATACACCTGGAAACTTCAGGAGTCAGTGGGAGCTGCTCTCATCGGCAACTTTATAAAAAAAACTCATGTCAAATTGGCCAGCACCAAATGCAATGCTATCACTGGACCGGAAAGCACCAATATCGACACCGATCATATTCGCAGCGCGCAAAGTTCGTTATGATCGTCCGAGGCGATACGATGCAACGGGAAATTCGCCGATATAGTACCCATAGATTAAGACCGTACGGAAGTGATTCATTGTGGTCAGCTAGGATTTAATGGAATGATGGCTGCACTCTAAGCTGATCGACCAAGCGATGAAAGAGCTGGAGGTTGAGTCCAAGATAAAACAAACACTTGCTTTCCTTAGTGAGGCAGTGATGGTGATCGCTATAGATGGAATAATTTTGAGCGAGATCGATGTAAGATTAAAGCTGGAGGTTGAGTCCAAGATAAAACAAACACTTGCTTTCCTTAGTGAGGCAGTGATGGTGATCGCTATAGATGGAATAATTTTGAGCGAGATCGATGTAAGATTAAGACAGTGAAGGAAGAACAAGCTTTGCTGCTAAAGACCCTAGCGCAATGACCTGAGAATTACGCTCTAGCCAAGATTAACGCTCGTAAATAAGAACGACATCAGTAGTGAGTTAATGCATTGAGAGAGAGTCGGATTATGCTACTGGCGAGAGGTTTAATACGAAGCGCTTATGTCATGAAGCAAAATCTTTACATGGCCTTGAGCGTGTCTTGACGTCCGGGTTGCCTTTTCCGAGCACAGTCACGTAAAGTCGAGCTGCAGATCATGGGATCCGAAACCTGTCTGGCCAAGCTCCAAAGGTGTAAAAACCTTGCTAGGATCCCCCAGTTGCTCCATTAAAACATCTTTATCAGTGCGTCAGCAACTAACTTCACTTCCGGGTCACTGTTCTGCGATCCATTAGCTAGAATTCTCGTTACTATACCCTCGTTGTAATGGCGACGTAAGGTTAAAAAAACAGCCTCAAAAGGCGCTATAGTAGCCGCTGTTAGAGCCGTCTTAGCCGCCTCGTCAGCCCGCTTTTTAGCCACCGCATGAGTCGACTTTTTAGCCGCCGCAGTGACCGCCTTATAAGCCTCATTGTACGCCGCTCGGTAGTATTTTTCAGCATATACTAGCCACATAAACAGGCGTGGGCTTTCAAAAAGTTCTTCTTCAATCTCCTTCAGCTTCAAAACTGTGAAAAGCCACTCCACACTTTTTCCAGTATCATGCCACCTCCGGAACTGTATCTTCAACAGGTTAACGGCGAGTTTAGCCATATGAAGAATCTTCGTTCCAGTTACAAGAATATCAGCCAATGCACCTTCTTCCCCGTAATGAGCTGCCAGGGTCGACCAGATCACATCAGTTACTGCTTCGGAATTATTCCGGTGTCTTACCTTGATCAAGGTGACCCACTGCAAAAATAGTGGGCTATCAAACAGCCTTTCTCCAATCTCATCGAGCTTTAAAATTGTAAAAACCCACTCCACACTTTCTTCAGTCTGATTGTACCACATCCGAACCTGTATCCTTAACAGGCTAACGGCGAGTTTAAACATATGGGAAATCTCCGTTCCAGTTACAAGAACATTAGCCAATGCACCTTCTTCCCCGTAATGAGCTACCAGGGTCGACCAGATTACATCAGTTGCCGCTTCTGGGTTATTCCGGTGTCTTACCTCGATGAAGGTGGCCCACTGCGAAAATAGTATGTTTTGAAAGAGTCCTTCTCCACTCTTGTCCAACCCCACAAGCGTAAAAAGTTCGCCCACCATTTTTCCACCTTCCGTCCACCTTGAGAGCTGCAACCATAGCAGATTAAGAGCGATGGATTTTACACTATCATCTTCCGTTCCAGCAACTAGGAGTTTGGCCCAAGCACCGTCGTCTTTGTAAAACTTTCGAAAAGCCGTCAACATTACCGCTGTGTGGTCTTTTGGGTGTTTAAGCCTGACGAATGCGAACAACTGCAAAAACAGTGGGTCAGGAAAAGGATTGCCTTCTGACTTATGCAGCTCCAAAATCTGTAACACCTCTTCCACCGTTTTCCCGTCCTCATTCCACTTATTAAGCAGCGCCACTTGCAGGTCTGCAGCGAAACTAGCGATGGATTTCACACTTTTGGTCTCCGTTGCAGCAACTAGAAGTTTGGCCCAAGCACTGTCGTCTTTGTAAAATTTTTGAAAAGCCGTCAACGTTACCGCTGTGTGGTCTTTTGGGTGTTAAAGCCTGACGAATGCGAACAACTGCAAAAACAGTGGGTCTTGAAAAGGATTGCCTTTTGACTTATGCAGCTCCAAAATCTGTAACACCTCTTCCACCGTTTTCCCTTCCTCATTCCACTTTTTAAGCAGCGCCACTTGCAGGTCTGCAGCGAGACTAGCGATGGATTTCACAATTTTGGTCTCCGTTGCAGCAACTAGAAGTTTGGCCCAAGCACTGTCGTCTTTGTAAAATTTTTGAAAAGCCGTCAACGTTACCGCTGTGTGGTCTTTTGGGTGTTTAAGCCTGACGAATGCGAACAACTGCAAAAACAGTGGGTCTTGAAAAGGATTGCCTTTTGACTTATGCAGCTCCAAAATCTGTAATTCCTCTTCCACCGTTTTTCCTTCATTATTCCACTTTTTAAGCAGCGCCACTTGCAGGTCTGCAGCGAGACTAGCGATGGATTTCACAATTTTGGTCTCCGTTGCAGCAACTAGAAGTTTGGCCCAAGCACTGTCGTCTTTGTAAAATTTTTGAAAAGCCGTCAACGTTACCGCTGTGTGGTCTTTTGGGTGTTAAAGCCTGACGAATGCGAACAACTGCAAAAACAGTGGGTCTTGAAAAGGATTGCCTTTTGTCAGCGCCAAAATTTGTAACACCTCTTCCACCGTTTTTCCTTCATTATCCCATTTTTTCAGCAGCGCCGCTTGCAGGTCTGCAGCGAGACTAGCGATGGATTTCACAATTTTGGTCTCCGTTGCAGCAACTAGAAGTTTGGCCCAAGCACCGTCGTCCTTGAAAATTTCTCGAAAAGCCGTCAACATTACCAATGTGGGATCTTTTGGATATTTAAGCTTGACGAATGCAAATAACTGCAAAATCAGTGAGTTTTGAAAAGGATTGCCTTTTGTCAGCGCCAAAATTTGTAACACCTCTTCCACCGTTTTTCCTTCATTATCCCATTTTTTCAGCAGCGCCGCTTGCAGGTCTGCAGCGAGACTAGCGATGGATTTCACAATTTTGGTCTCCGTTGCAGCAACTAGAAGTTTGGCCCAAGCACCGTCGTCCTTGAAAATTTCTCGAAAAGCCGTCAACATTACCAATGTGGGATCTTTTGGATATTTAAGCTTGACGAATGCAAATAACTGCAAAATCAGTGAGTTTTGAAAAGGATTGCCTTTTGTCAGCGCCAAAATTTGTAACACCTCTTCCACCGTTTTTCCTTCATTATCCCATTTTTTCAGCAGCGCCGCTTGCAACTCTGCAGCGAGACCAGCGATTGATTTCAAACCTTTGATCTCACTTCCAGCAACTAAAAGTTCAGCCAATGCAGCATCGTCACTGTAATGATCTATCAAGGTCTTTAACATTGCCTCAGTCGTCGCTGTGGGGTCTTTCGAAAATCTTGCCCTGACAAAAGTGACCTACTTCACAAAGTTTGGATCTCCAAACAGTTCAGTTCCTTTTTTAAGCTTCAGCAGCATAAACACCTCGTCCGAGGATTTCTGCGTCAGAAACCACACCCAACTTGGAGGTATCTGGTAAATCGCCCCAGAAATTGACTTGAGGTTGGAAAAGCTTGGAGCCAGTTCTGAGAAGTTAAAGGTAAAAGGCCTCTCTTTAGAATTTTCAGTCGTCTCCATGGCCGTATTACGTCTCAAGCGCCGCTTTCTCGCGGCCGGAAAATGAATCGAATGCAGCGTATTCAAAGCGACACCCGCATGAGTCGACTTATGAGTTTCCACGGCTGTAGCTGGGCCAATAATAAGCGCAAAGACAACCAGCGCGCAGGACATTTGAGCTGCACTTAACATGGCAACTATCACTGATACTTGTACGGTGAGCTTGGAGGGAAATGTAAAGTAAGGAGGCCGTACACGATGGTTTAATATTTATATTCAGAATTACGTTACCATAAATATTGCATACAATTTTTTCGTGAGACTTTCCTATAAGGAGGTATTAAGTGTGGGCGGTAAGGTACGGTATCGGTAATAATGTACCATATTGGTTATGGTTCGATGGCCGATATTGCCGTACAAAGTACATCGTCACAGATTGTAATGAGGCAATCTATTACATAAGTAGTTGTAGGAATAATATAAAAGTACATAAGTAGCCATAGGGCAGTATTAGTACTACGCGTCATTTTATTATAATATTGCTATGGAACCGCAGACATTAATACTAGGGCCACGGACATTAATACTACGGCCATAGACAAAACTACTAGGGCTACAGACAATTGACCCAGCCAATTACAGCTTAGAAAATCAATTGTAAGTACGCACTTTAAACAATCAGGTTACTTGTTAACTTGTACCACGACCTTCTTCTTCTTATAGTTTTGATTATTATTACAGTAAAACAAAAGTTATGGTGTGGTAGTAATAGTTAAAAGTGTGCAAAAGTTATGGTGTGGTGGACGTGCGCGACCATGTCGATGAAACAAGCAGCGCAATCTAGCCAGGTAACATATTCTCAAGCTCGTTCTCGATGCATCCAACGTCTCTGCTGGTCGCGTCTCGAGTCCAATTCTTAGCACAATATGCAAGAATGGCATTTCTCGCGATGCTATCACATTCAAACGAATGCGAATCAACGCTAGCAATCAGCGATAACATGATAATATTGTTCTAGCGTATAAACTGCTCTTTTTCTGACCGTTTAATTGCTATATATGCATGGTATAGAAAATACTTTTGAGGCTCTAGATGTTGGAAAGGTGGTTAATGTTGACAAGGATCCTCGACAGGGTAACATTTTATTGTTGCGAAATGTTGCGAGTAATTGTAAAAGACCAACTGTTGTTATTAAACGAGGAGGAGATTGCTCATGTAGACGGTCACTTCTACGAAGTTGCCTCGTACTACGAGCACACACCTTATGCACAAGCGAGGAAGCGGTTATACCGTCTTACCTTCGCGTGCGAGGGTGGTTGGGAGGTTGGTCGACTGCTTAAGCAGTCGTACCGCCAGTTGCCTCTCGCTTAAGCGAGAGTGCAACGAACTTCTTAACACTAAAGCACCGACGTCACGCAAAAGCTTTTTCAACTTCTCGTGCGTGGTGCGTACGTTTAAGTAAATTCAAGACTGAGCTATATTTAATTAATTATAACTAAATATATACTTAACTACTGATTGGCTATATATATAGATCGGATACGCGACTCTTTAGAAGCGTATCCTGTCGCATGATCTTAAATCTAGATTTAAGATCGCAACTGACGTTCTTCTGAGACGTCATGATGCCTAGCTTCAACTAGCGTCATCCCTTTCCATATTAATCCATACACGGATATCACATTCACGAGGGTGGATCACATTTGTGTTTTGCACCCAAGTGACAGGTCAAAAGTAATCATGAATACTTTTAGACCAAACATTAAGTATATTACTTAATGTTTACGTGTAACTAGATGCCCTGTTACACCATCCCCCGTTTTAGAACGATGTTTACATTTTATAAAACATCGCCTAAGAGACAGAGAGACTTGCGAGCCGTTATACACGCGCCGCTTTAGTCTGCTCAGTACTCATGCCACTGAAACGTGGTAAGGCTGATGGGTCGCCTGCAAAGGCACCCATGCAGTCCAGCACTAAGCGCACGCGCCGCGATTTATCGCAGCCGTCGCAAAGTGCTTCAGGCACTGAGACGAATCTTTCATCTCACGATAATGTGGATGAAGATCCATCTCTCATTGTTGACTACAATGAGACTACACCACTGCCATCACCCCAAAGTGGCGATGAGCATAGTGCATTGATGGGACATATGTCCCCATCGTATGAGGCACCCGTCCTTGAGGAAGCATCTATGCTTCCTACAAGCGAAGGTAAAACCCCGTCGTCTGCGCCTACGAGCGCAGCGACTAAGACTGAGCGCGCTACTTCGAAAGGAATAGTCGCGACTCAGTCAGATGTAACTTCTCAAGCTGATGTCTTGACAATCCATAATGGAGAGTCAGACTCAGGTGGGTGGGAGCTTAAAGCTCCACCAAGTACACCTTCGGCCTCAATAGCCCGCCGTCGCGAGGGCGGCTACGTGAGTGGTGGCTTGCCACCAATGCCACCTCCATCTGAGTGGATGAACTCGGATGGGTCTAGCGCAGCACTTTTGCAGTGTGCCACTATAGACGCTCATAGATTCTATAGCGTCTTTCCTTTGTGTAAAATGCAGGGAAAAGCGCTTGGTCGTGCTTTCCCAATTCCAGTCGTGCTGCGTTCTAACGAAACAGCCGACGACTGAACTTCGGCGCCGTGTTACCTTGCATGTAGATGCAACGAAACAGCGGTCGCAGCGAATCAGCTTCGCCATGAAGCGTGCGCATTAAATTATGGGTGGTAAGCGACCCCCAATAAATTCTCGCCACGCTTCTTCTGCTAGTCCTTCCGGACCTAGCACAGCTGGTGCTGCTTCACATAAGCAGCCACCAGCCCAGGCACGTCAACGCGCAAAGCGTCCAAAGGCTCCCACGAGTCAAAGCTCGTTGGGTAACCCTTCCACTGGACAAGGATTTGGAGCTTTCGCTTCACAAACCGGTGGGCCAACAGCCTTCCAACAAGGAAGTGCGTATTCCCTTCCGTGTCCACCAACACAGGTGTCGCCCGATAGGAGTGGCGATTACGTCCACCTACTCGTGGCTGTCTACCCTGCTACTGTTCAGTCGCAGGCTGAGACCGCTGCGCTGAAGAGGCAGGTGAAAGATGTCGAGAGTCAAGTCTCGCGACTGACTTCGGATCTGCGCGATGTGAGGGCGAGGGACCGTCAGGGGTATGACCGCCTGAAGCTTCGGCTGGATCTGTTAGAGCAACTGGTGATGAGAGACCCGCGTCAAGCGCGGAGTCCTCCTCGATCGCCGAGTCCTCTATCGCCTCGTTCGTATACGGGGAGCCTCTCGGCTTCCTCGTCGCCTGATGGGTCGCGACGCTCGACACACAGTCGAAGTCACCATCGGTCTCGTTAGACCGATGTGGATATGTGATCTCTTCTGGATCAACATACCGTTCCAGACGACCCACGTAAAATACGGGGTGCGTCTTCATATACGGTGGGAGAATGAGCCTCTAATTTAGATCTCCAACTTCTTCAACCACTGTAAAGGGCCCAATGAATCGGGGCAATAGCTTAGTAGTACCACCAGGTAGTACAGGAATTGCATGTTTAGGTAGGGTAGCAGTACTTAAAAGCACTTTGTCCCCCACACTAAAGTGTTCATTGTTTTTGCGACCATGCTGGTCTGCATATTGTTTTGCTTGTCCTGTGCGCTTGCCATCGCGTCACGGACTTTACGTGTGATGGCTAATCGCTCATCCACAAAGCGGTGATCTTCGCTCACGCTTTTAGCATCCAGCTCGCCGATGACGCCTCCAAGAGGTCGTTCATGGGTCGACGCTGTTGATAACACTATAGTGTCATCGTCAAGGAGCACTGGCATTCTTGCCGTGCCTCCTTTGTGACACGTATAGGTGTCGTGACCACTGCTAGAGTAGCAGTGTCACTAGGGAAACCTTGGCCCTCTTTGGCATTCGCACCGAGCGAAGTGAGGGGCCCTCCCCCACTAAGACTCGGGCTGCGTACAAACGAGACTGGCGTTCGAGGATGACGCAGTCCGTTAATGTAAAACGGTGTTTCACCCGTACTGGCGTGAACACTATTATTAATAGCGAGCTCCACGAATGGCAATTGCTTGCTCCATCTTTAGATGTCGCTACCGTACGCAACACATCCGCCACAACTCGATTGGCACGTTCTGTTTGGCCATCAGTTTGGGGATGATCAGCGGTTGACATGTGGAGCTTGCTACCCAGCAGCTCGAACACATGTCGCCAAAAATTCGACGTAAAACGCGGATCTCGATCCGATACTATGGACTCGAGCATCCTGTGTAGTCGATACACATGATCCAGATACGATAGCCCAGCCTCTTTTCCTGAGATCTTGGTGCCAAATGCACCATCTTGCTCTGTCTGTCTACAAAGACAACGATCCTTGTCCTGCCTTTATGGTCATGCGGCAAGCCAAACATGAAGTCCAAACTGACCGACTTCCAACATTCAGTTGGAATCGGCAGTGGCTTCAGTGGCGCACTGTTCGAAGTGTGGGCTTTTTATGCGCTGACACTCTTTACAAGAGCGAATATAGTTGTCCACCCACCGATATAGGTGGGGCCACCAAAATTCCTCTGACACTCGTAAGAATGTCTTTTCACGGCCCAGATGCCCACTAGATGGCGCATCATGGCACTCGTGAAGTATCATCAGCTTGAGATCTGTGTCATGAGGGACATAGATTATCAAGGGATCACAGGGTGACAGTTGATGCCATAGCAGGCCATCACTGTAACTAAAGCGATTTAGCTTCGCTTTGAGGTGCAACGAAAGGGTAACCTTTCGTCCACCAAAATGATCCAACAGAAGGCGACAATGTTTGTCCTGACTGTAACACTCCTTGATATCGGAGGCCATTGAGCTCGTCACATGGTAGGCCTTCATGGCTGCCAATTTGTGCTTCCGCACGAGACACACTATCCTGGTGTCTTGCCTCGAAGTATGGTCTGCGCGATAACGCGTCAGCCAAGACATTCGATTTACCCGGCTTATATTCAGCTTTGAAATTAAATTCAGAGAAGAATGTTAGCCATCTCGCCATTCTCGGCGAGAGGTGCGGTGAATTTATAGCGGTCCGCAGTGATGCGTGATCCGTATAAACCACAAAAGGTTCGGTGCCCAAGAGGTGCACCCGAAACTTAACAAGGGCATACTTAATTGAAAGTATCTCCTTGTCATGCACAGGATAGTTAGCTCGGCAGCTT